AATATGATTTGAGTGGAGGAGGAACGCCAGCGCTAATGCGTGATGCGTGAGGCGTCGCAGGAAAGACGGGATGGGATTAGTGCCCTCGGGCTGCGGGGACAACTCTTGGAGCCGCAGCCTGTGACAGACGGCTGAAGTAAAAGTATCTGTAAGGAGTTAGCAGCGCCGGAATGATCCGAGGGTTCACGTCCCTGTGTACTGTGAAGTACTTCAGATACAACTGAGGTACTGGGTTTTTAATCATTTCCCTCCATGGTGGTTACCCAACCGTCTCCACCTGTGTCTCATTAGCTCCTCCCCCTGTCCATTACATATACCTATCCCCCCCCCTCCCCCCCCCCCCAAAAAAAGAAAGTTTTTTCTGGACTAACAACTTAGGGGCCGGAGATTCAAATAAAATGATTTTTTTTCAGTTACTTTAATAGTGTGGACCATATAATATTTTCATTTTCAATATTTTAATTTTGATCCAGTGGTGCTTTGGCCCAGAGCCAATGTCTCTGTCATTGGTGTAGAACCCCAGGGTTCACCTCCTGGGCAAGATCGAATCCCGGTTAGGGCGGTTGGTACGGTGCAATGTGATTTGGGTGGAGACTGCTGCCCCTGCGACCCGGTAACGGATAAGCGGATGAAAATGGATGGATGGAATTTTGATCCCGACATTTTTGGAATCAAAACACAGGCCGGATTAGACAGTCCATCGGGCCGCATTCAGCCCGCAGGCCGCAGGTTGATAACCACTGATTTAGAGAGTAAGATTATCTTCTTGATTTTTGTATTTATTTTTTTTAGTGGTGGGGGGGCACGGAGAGGGGGGGGGGGGGGTTGGGGGTGGGGGCCGGCCGGCCGGGGGGGGGGGGCACGGTTTTTATCACTAATTATCAATAAATGTTTATTTAAAAAAAGGTAATATACGCTCAATGTGCTGAAAATAACTCCTGCGTGCAGAACGCAGCGCTGTCACTCTGTGATCTGCAGCCGAGAAGCCACCTGCGTATTCCCGAAAGCGGCCGCCAGAGGGCGACATAGTAAATTGCACTGTAATTTCAATAAAACGCTTAAAATGTTCAAAAAGGGGT